CCGTTTGAAGACCCTGAAGCATGCCAAAACATTGTTCTCGGGAGTCCAACGCCGCGGATCAACTTGACTGTTGCGTTTTGACGATCCTGAATCGTGCCAGAACGCCAGGGACTTCAGCGCAGATACCCAAGGTAACTGTTTCACCCGCATAATCCTGAATTCTTCCCTAACATAATTTCTGGTACGTTGATGATGGGAATCAGTGAAACTCTTAAAAATGTTGCAAACGAATGTGCGCGACGCTGAAGCGAGAACCCCATTTTGAAAAGAAACCGCCCATAATCCGTGAAAAGGTTGCACATGTGTATAACAAATGTGCACAGCGCTAAGGCGAGAGCCACATGTTGAAAAGTACTCGCCCTCAGTCCGAGAAATTCTTGCAATACTAAAAAAATCGAATGTGCGCCGCGTTAAGGCAATAACCACATTTTGAAAACGACCCGCCCTCAGTCCGTGAAGCTCGTGCAAATGTTTAAAACGAGTGTGCGCCGCGCTAAGGCGAGGGCCAAATTTTGAAAACCACTCGCCCTCAATCCGTGAAACTCTTGCAAATTTTTAGAACGAATGTGCAACGCGCTAAAGCGAGAGCCACATTTTGAAAACGACCCGTCCTCCATCTGTGAAACTGTTTCCAGTTTTTAAGCATCAGAATCATGCATGGTGAGGAAGTCTCAGGCGAAACGCCCGGGCCCGCCCTACAAACTGGCCCCGGGGTGCGACAGGGAGAATATATTTCTCAGGAAAAGGGATGGAGGAGGAGGAGGAGGAGAAGGAGGAGAGCCGTGGGGGTTGGCATGCCCGAGGCGAGTACGGGCAACCCCCTGATCTCATTTTTTTGCCATCGCTCGGACAACCAATCCCCGTGCGTTTTTCGGCTTCTTGCGTGAGGTGATCCAAGATGCTCTTCGCGCACACGCCCGAACGATGCCGAGTTTTTGTCCCCTCCGCAGGCACCCATCAACAACATTCCCGCTCCGATTGCGTGTCCGGTCCGCTCCCATGGGAGAGACGGGAGCCACCCCCGGGCAACGAGCGCGGACAGGGGCTCGCAACGCTGAGAAGCTCTATAGCGGCAGTGGTCGAAGGTGGCCGGCCAGCAAACATCGGGCAGATCCCAGAGCTCCTACCGTCTGCACGTAAGCGCGACCCTAGGCAAGAGTGGCCACTGGTGCGCGGCTTTGGGGGGGGGGGGGCATCCTTCGTCCTCTATAACCCCTACCTCCTCCTCTTTATCCTTCCTTCCTCCTCATCCTTCCTCCTCCTCCTCCTTCCTCCTCAATATTGCTCCTCCCTCCTCTACATTGTTTCCACTTGGTGCGCGGCCACTTTGGGGGGGGGGGGGCGCGGAGGGGCCAGATCCAGGCGCGCAGGCCGCTGCTGTCGCACACCGCATGCCGCGATCGGGGGGTCCCCCCGAATGGGCCCGCACCAAAGGTGCCTCCGGCGACGAGAGACTTGCTCAACCCCTGCGCGTTTTCTCTTCAGCTTCGGCCTCTGGGGCTGGTCTTCGGGCACTCGGGGGCCATCAACAGTGAACCCACGGCAAACATCGACTCCCGGGGAGGCGGGCTGCACCTCCGGGGCCGCGGATGCGAAAACATCGCAGCGGCGGACGTCCGGGGACGCGCACGATGCTCAGCACCGGATGATGTCCAAAGGCACCAGACGAGCGCGAGCAGACCATCCGCCTTCCTTCCTCATCATGCTCCTTTCCCCCCTCCCCCTACATCCTTCGTCCTCTACTACCCCCTTCTCGTCGTCCCGTCCTCCTCCTCCTCCTCCTCCTCCTCCTCCTCCTCCTCCTCCTCCTCCTCCTATTCCTCCTCCTCCTCCTACATTCGTTTCCCTTATGAATAACTCCTCCCTGTCGCGCCCCGAGTCCAGTCGAAAGTGCGGGACGGGCGTCTCGCACGATACTTCCTCATCGCTGATGGCCCTGATGCTTTAAAATTGGCAAGAGCTTCACACATTGAGGGCGGATGTTTTTCTAAATGTGGCTCTCGCCTTAGCGCCGCGCACCCTGATCTGTCAAAACATGTCAGAGCTTCACGCATTCAGGGCGGCTCCTTTTCAAGCTGTGGCTCTCGCCTTAGCGCCGCGCACCCTCGTCTTAAACAAACCGCAAGAACTTCACGGATGGAGGGGAGCTCCTTTGGAAAATGCATTTATCGCCTTAGCGCCGCGGGCATTCGCTCTCAACATTTGCAAGAGTTTCACGGATTCCCATGGTCAACGTACCAGCAACGGTGTTTGGGAGCAGTTCAGGAGTGTCAGGGCGCAACAAATACATTGATTCGCGGTATTGAAATCCCAAGAACAGCGTTCTGGCACGATTCAGGGTCGTCAAGACGCGACAGTCACGTTGATCCGTGGAGTTGGAATCCCGAGAAATGTGCTTTGGCAAACTTCAGGGTTTTCAAACACTTGTCTCCCAACGGGGCACTTCCCGCAGTGGAAATGAATCCTGGTAAGAGGCCTATGAAGAGGGAGCTTGGAGGGAGGGTTTATTCCAACATCGTGGATGAGTATTGGGCTTGCACCGGTCGTTGTCGTCCTCCTCCTCCTCCTCCTCCTCTTCCTCCTCCCCCTCTGCTCCTCCTACACTTCAACCTCTTCCGTCCTCTTCCTCATTTTCTAATCCTCATCCTCCCTTCCTGCTAGGGCCTTCTCAGCCCCCATGCCCAACAGCTGGAGCAGGGAGTTGGTGACGAGGCTGGCGCAGAAGCCTGCTAAAATGAAGGCGACCTCCGCTCCCTCCCTTGATATCGCCTCGTTCATGCACGTTTCGGACTGTCTGGCTCCTCTGGCACTCGACACGAGAGTTTCTGCGCCACGAGAACCTGTACACAGACACCCAGCGACGAATTCCGCATGTACCTTCAGGGAGGGCGGCAATGCATAGAGTCGCTGGCCCCTGGTGGTGATTTATGCACCGCCACCCCCTCCTCAGTCCCAGGAGCAATCCATTGGAGGGTGTCTCGGTGCATGTTTAGCTTTGTGGCGGAGTCTCCCTCTCCGAGCGCTCGCCGCGCAAATCTCGGTGCCGGGCACACGCCCTGTTTGCGCCCCCGTCCCCCCTGCAACCTCACAACAACACCACCACCACCAACAACAACAACACCAACACCAACAACACCAACAACAACAGCAGCAGCAGCAACAACAACACCAACAACAACCACATAAACAACAACACCAATAACAACATTACCACCAGCAACAACAACAATAACAGCACCACAATCAGCAACAACAACAGCAGCAACAGCAACCGCAACAACAACAACGACGATGGCGACGACGACAACAACACCAACACCAACAACAACAGCAGCAGCAACAATAACAACACGAACAACAACAACAACAACAACAACAACAACAACAACAACAACAACAACAACAACAACAATTACTAGCACGTGGGGATACTCCGTTCTCACCAGTGCCAGGGTTTTCATAGGCGGGCAATACCCCCACTTTGTGGGGGGGCCGGTTCAAGCTCTACCAAATTTCCAAACGACTCTTCGCCACCACCCACACCCAGCTTCCCGCCCTATGACGTTCGGACACTTCACTTCGTGGCATGCGGACGACCGTGGCTACTATTCAGGGCCCGCGGCCGACGACGACGGCGTGCGCGCGCGAAGAAAAAACGAATGTGTCCCGCATGGTATTATTTGACGGGATGATGGCCCTGGCAGGTGCGCAACCGTTGTTGCAGAAGTTCGAAAAAGTTGCTCGCAAAAGCCCGTTTGACAGAAATGTTTAAAAAGTGTTGGGTTTCCGACGAATCCGCAAGAGCGCGCGGGATGAGATTTTGACATTTTTTTTTTGTTGAAAAACCATTGGTTTTTTATGTTTTTATGTTAAAATCGCTACGAAAACTAAGGTTTTGGAAGGATTTCGTCTTGCGCGCGCGAATGTCCACTTACCTTATTTTTTGCAAAGGATTCTTGAAGTTTGGTTATGTTAGAACAAGAAATGTCACTTTAGTTGTTTTTTGCAAGGGAAAGCGGGCGTAACAAAACAACCGGATCCGGACCAACCCGTTTTGCCTGAGACTTCCTCACGAAAATGATGAAAATGTGGCTGCGGCCTAGGCGCGGCGGGGGGGTCGCGCACCAGGGGTCCCAACAATAATTATTCTTAAGAAGAAATAATGTTCAACAACAACAACAACAACAACAACAACAACAGCAATAGCAACAGCAACAGCAACAGCAACAGCAACAGCAACAACAATCAGTTTAAGACTGTTCGCAATTACTGGCACGCGTGTCTTGCATTCCGTATACCCCAACCCTCGATACCCGCCCACTTTGTCTTTGATTGCACCCCCTTTCGGGGGGAATCTCTTCCTTGTCGGCCACTGACTGAGCTGCGAAGAAGTCTCGAGCGAGAGCACCGTTCCTGAGTTTGGGGGCCTCTCAGGCCAAGGGCTCTCGGAATACCTGTGGAGAAATATCGAACGGGAGCCCTTGTCGCCGTGTCCGGGCCTCCACTAACTTGCCTGAATTACGGGAACAACAACGATAACACCACCAACAACAACAACAACAACAACAACAACAACAACCGCAAGTCACGTTTCCGTCAGGACCCGCTTCCCCCATGCCGATCCCTGGATGCGGCGGGGGGCCTTGGAGCGGCAGGAGGAGGAGAAGGAGGAGAAGGAGGAGGAGGAAGAGGCGGAGGAGGAGGAGGAGGAGGAGGAGGAGGTGGGAATGGAGGAGGCATGGGGAAAGCAAAGGTTTCCGATACCGCTACTCCCCGGACCTCTCCTGGGGTGCGTTCTGAGCCAGAGTGTCGAGGCGAGTCCAGCGGTAGGGGGCCACATGCGAACCCCTACCCCTACCCCCCACGATTTCTGAGGGGGAGGGTGGGGTTCACTTCGCGCGGGAGCTCCCGAAGGAAGTGATCCCCGCCCTCCCCCTCAGAAATCGAGGGGGGTAGGGGTTACGGTTCGCATGTGGCCCCCTCTAAGCGGTGGCAGCGAGGGCCTCTCGGGAGGCCCCAAAAAAGGGGGAGAACGCGGGAAGGGCACTCGCCAGTCGGAAGAGGTACACCTTGCGAAATGCTTAAGAAATCATGGGTTAAGAAATTCATAGTCTCTGAACTTGAATAAAAACCCAACATTTCCATTCAAATCTTAGGATTTCCATTGAAAAATTAAGAATAATCGAGACTCTGGCCGAAAACTTAAGTTTTCTTAAGCATCGCCTAAGGTGTAGGTGGAACACTGAAGTAGGAAGGTGGACAAAGTAGGTTGGGTTCGGGCCCGCCCGAAGAGCTACAACATGCAACAAGCACAACGACTCTTGAGGTGGGAAGGCGCTTGATGCAAAGTGGGTCTGGAAATTCAAAAGCACACACTTCCAACGACTGGAGTGCAGCGGTGTGGGTCGGCTACACGCAAGAGTGACCCTAGGTAAGAGTGACCTGTGGTGCGGTTTCACGGGGGACGCGGGGTGGCCAAACCCAGGCGCGCAAGCCGCTGTTACCGCTTCGCGCTCCGCGATCGGGAGGCCCCACCAAAGGTCACCCTGTCAAAAGGTCACTCTTACACGTCGGCCTGAACAAGTAGGTAGAACAATTCAGTAGGAAGGCGGACAAAGCAGATTGGGTCCAGGCCCCCACAGAACAGCAAAACACAGCAAGAGCACATCGCCTTTTGAAGTAGGAAGGCGCTTGAAGTAGATCGGGATCTGGGAATCCAAAAACACCCACTTTCGACGACCGACGTGCACGTGTAACCGAACCTTCCCCCTCTCCGAGGGGCTTCCGGCTACGTGCACGCAAGAGTGACCCTGGGCAAGGGTGACCTTACGTGCGCGGATTGAACGGGGCGCAAGGTGGCCCAATCTGAGCGCGCAAGCCGCCGCTATCGCATCGCGCTCAGCGATCCAGGGGGGGGGGGGGGGCTGGCGAGCCCGCACCAAAGGTCACACCGGCGGAGGAGGAGGAGGAGGAGGAGGAGGAGGAGGAGGAGGACCAGAAGGGGCGGCAGCCTGCCCTGGCCCCGCCCCCGGGCGGGCCCATGTCATGAGGGAGAAGCTGGCCCCGTGCAGCACCATGGAGCCGATCACGTCCACGTTGCCCCGGGGGGGGAATCCGCTGGCCCCCGGGCGCCGCTGGACCCGCGGCGCGGCGGCGGCGCAGGGTGGGCGGGGCGGCCGTGCGGGTGGAGGGCAAGGGGGGGTGGAGGGGGAGCGGAAGGGGCGTGGAGTGGGGAGGGGGGACGCCGGGAGGGGGCTGGAGTGGAGTCTGAGAGAGAAAGAGATATTGAATTATTCAACGTGCAACCATGTGTATACAAGTATACATGTATATTTAGAGAGAGAGAGAGAGACAGAGAGAAACAACAATAAAAAATAAAAACAGAGAGAGAGAGAGACACACTATTGGTGAATCAAAGTGTGACCTGTATAGACATGTACACATCTGAAAATGTGTACGATGATGCTGACCTATATGTTGAATGTATTTTGTATGCATGTCTGGCAATAGAGAGAGAGAGAAACAGAGACAACCAACATACATGAATCACATAAACAGAGGGATAGAGAGAGAGAGAGAGACAGAAAAGAGAAAGAGAGAGAGAGAGAGAGAGAGAGAGAACAGAGAGAGAGAGAGGGGCAGCAAGGACAGCTGGGAAAGGGGGAGTGGGATAGCGGGGAGGTGAGCGGCGAGAAGGGGGGATGGGAAGAGGGAGGGACGGGGACGGGCCAGGGAATGGCAGGTGGGGAAAGAGCAGCCAGGGCCGGGGCAGGGTAACCTTATAAGATCGACATGGAACCCCCATGGGCCAGGCGGGGTGGCGACAGCGCCGCTCGGACAGCACGCGGAACACCACGCGCGGGAAGGCCAGCCACGCGAGCATCGAGTGCCCCAGGTTGCAGGGCGTGGGGATCACGGCCATCCCTCCCCGGGCGCCACCGCCCCCTTGTGCCCCTCCTCCGCCCGCCCCTCCCCGTCTTTCTCGTCGTCCTCGTTCTCCTCGTCCTCCTCCTGCTTATCTTGCCTCTCTTGCTCTGGGTGCTCGTCCTCCTCCTACTGCTACTCTTTCTCATCCTTCTGTCCGGTGCGATGAAAAGTTTGCTGGGGGAGGAGGGAGACCAGCAGCAGCAGCAGCAGCAGCAACAGCAGCAGCAGCAGCAGCAGCAGCAGCAGTGGAGTAAGTAGAACAGGAGTGGAGGAGGAGGAGGAGGAGGAGGAAGGGGAGGAGGAGGAGGAGGAGGAGGAGAGGACGACCGTAAGAACAATAATTCGCTCCCCTGTACCCGCAGCTGCCTACTGCAACCCCAGCAGCGGGTGGCGGGGCGGCGGGGCTGGGGGCCGCAGGGGCCTCGGCCGCCACCAGGAGGTGGACAATGCGGAAGAGGAGGAAGAGGAGGAGGAGGAGGAGGAGGAGGAGGAGGAGGAGGAGGAGGAGGAGGACGAGGAGGATGAGGAGGAGGGGGAGGAACAGCAGCGGCAGAAGCGGATGCAAAGGTAAAAACGGGGACGAGGAGGTCCAGGCGACAGAACATGGGATGGGTCGAGGCAGGTATGGGAGGAGATGGAAAGGGAGGGCAGACAGGGCTGGCAGGCAGGGTTGGGCTGGCAGGTAGGGCTGGAGGGCAGGCAGGGCCGGGCCGTCGCTCGTGCCCTGCCGCTCAGACCCCCCATCGCGCTGCCCCCTCTGCGGGGTGCGCAGCTTCGCCCTCTGAGGACAGCCAGGAGCGAGAAGAGAAGGGGGGCTCGGGGGGGGGGGAGGAGGAGGAAGAGGAGGAGGAGGAGGAGGAGGAGGAGGAGGAGGAGGAGGATCATGCTGGATCATGCTGCGATGCCACCCACGTGGCTTCAATCACTGTCGCCGCTGTCGCCACCGCCGCCACACGACCCTTGCACCACGGGAGCACCAGCGAGCCCCTGACCCTGGGCCCTGGCAGCGGCGGCGGCAAAGACAGCAGCCGCATCCTCGCCCGCGGGTGGGGCGCGGGCACGGTCCTCGTGCAGCTGCATCAAGTCGGCGAGCTCTCCAGAGGAGCGGCTGGAGGAGCGAGCCAGATACTCATCAACCACAGAGTCCTCCCTCAAAGGGCCACCGCTCCGACCCACATCAACTTCGCGAGGGGGTGGCGGGAGGGCTCTAGCGCCAACATCCTGAGCAACCGCCTCTCGCAAAGCCACAAGTGGTCCCCAATAAGACGGGAAAAACACCCTTTCTAATTCGCTTGAGATTATCACCCCCCTTTTTGGTGGGGGGACACACACACACACATTCTGAAGCCACCGACCGTCAGTCGTGGCAGTGAAACCACACCTCTGGCAACATGTCAATCCGAATTTCTTCATTCTTGCGAGGCGGTGGCTGAGGTGAAGCTTCACGGCGCCGCACCACACCTCTCCCGAGATCGCCTCGAAACCTTCTCCATATTCAGGCATCAGACCCAGCGTGGAAGTGGAACCCGCCAGCGGCGGCGGGATCGGATCGCAGCACTGGGTCGAGGCGACGGCGAGCACTTGGCTCCTCGGAACAAGGACTTTACAAACCTCGCAGCGCCAGCGACCAGCAAACGGGCGAAACTTGTGCGCGCTATCGCGGACCGTCTGAACGAATTTGGTGGGCTTGCGGACCTTGGGCACTAGCGGAGCTCTGACCCCTTCCCAAGGTTCAACCTCGAGCGCCAGCAGCATCGCCCTTCTGGCCCTTCTTCTCACCAGCGCCGCCGTCGCACCCCACAGGTCAGTCCGAGGGGGGGGGGGGGGGGGCACGCCCCACTCCCAGGCCCACTGGGCCGCCACCCCCGCATGGACGTCGGCGCTGGCGTTGCCCCGGCACATGCAAATTTCAAACGGTGACGTGACCGACTGCAACTTGTCCTCCGAGTGGGAGGGGGCCCACAATATCGAAACGCCCCCAGGGCCGCGGCTGCGCAGCGCACGAGCCGCACGGACCCAGAAGTCCCCGTCCGGACCCCGAGGAGTGGAAGCACGGCCGCCGTGCCAATCCGAAAACAAACTCTTGCAGCCGGTAGTGTAGCAGATCGGGCCGTGAGACCTTTCAATAGCAAGACATAGCGCCTGCAGCTCGGCTCGTGGGACGGTTCGGCGCTGGCCCGACAAAATCTATCCGGCGCCGCACTGGGGCACCCGGGAGTTAGGCGACAAGGGGTCCTGGCGCATCGACGCTACCGCCGAGCCACATCTCCCACGTCTGGGGTCCGAACTATACTCGCCTCCAGATCCATCTCGGAAGATGAAAACAGGAGGGCCTCCAGGCTCCGAACAGAAGTCAGACATACATCCCCCCCCAAGAAGGACCTCCTGAGCCGTCTCCGAAGTCTCAACAAACCTGGGCACCGTGAGGTTCTTCGAGGGAACGCCCCTGAGCCACAACGCCAGTTGGGCCACGAGGCCCGCGAGGGCCTCGGGAACTAAAAACTCCGTTTTAGGAAAATCTTCGCGTCCACGATCGGCTGAACATAACCAAACACGGTGCGCTAACATGTCAGGCTACTCTTTACATCGGGGACACAGCGGCGAGCAGGCGCATCCTGCGGCGATCTGCCGCTCGCGAGTCCACTGGCCCCCTGAGATGACGGCAGCGTCGGCGGCCCACTCGCCGAACTTGGACTGTGCAGCGAGGCGGTTCAGCTCAATCTACACCGTCTTCATGTCAGCGCCTGCTACCAGATCCTCGCCAGCCTCATGGTGGGCCGCCTCCTTCCGCTGCAGCTGCACACAATCACCCATGAAGGCTCCAAGCATATCTTCAACGTGCGAGACTACCGCGGTAGCGAACTGCTCGTCACCATACATCTTGCCATCAGGTAGCGGTCGTGACCATGTATCAGGACTCTGTGGATCCCAGCCGATCTGCAGAAGAGTGGCCTGCGCCGCGGCGATGGGCCCGCGGACGTCCTCCCACTTCGCAATCTGCCGCTCAGCAGCTCCACGACGCAACTTGGCAAGAGTGATCGGCCACATCTTACGAATGCGAGGGTGAAGCATCGGCTGGGACAACCACAAAGCAACCCACAGCTTTATCAGTTGCTTCCTCAAGTCAATACCAGGATCGGAAACTCCAAACACAGCTTGCAATACAGTATTCAAGCACCTGCCACGCTTGGTTCCAGCAGCGCTGGCTGCAGCATCACGCCTCAAAGCCAACCGTGCCGACGAAGGGGTTCCTATAAGCTGATGGCCAACAACTGCTGCAGGTAGCACTCCAGTGCGGTAGAGGTTCTTGGTGAAGAACCTGGTCTTGGGAAGCTGACGCAAACGCGTGATCTTACGTTGCCTCCGTCGAGCCTGTGCACGACGCTTCATCATTCACGGTGCAATCCTCCGTCGCCCTGCAGCAGCGTCAGAGCCCAAGTCGACGGTGGAGAGCACAAACTGCACAGGATTACCTTTGCGAACCAACCGCCTCTGCAACTCCATACCAATCCCATCAGAAGTGGCAACTGACTTAGTTTTGGCAGAAATCTTCAATCTGAGCTTCTTGAGCCCAGCGACCATGGCATCGGCAGAGGCGTCAAAGTTGTCAATCACTTGCTGCTTCTTGCCCTCTGCGCGACCGGCGATACCATCAATGTAACTCCACAAGCCAGTCGGAGGACACACTCGGTGGACCTCATCCAACAACTGATCCGACATCACTTTGGCAAGCGGGACTCCAAGCCCAGACCCAGCTGCAATCGAACGTGGGACTACCAAGGCATCCGAAACCATCGACCCTTTCTTCAGGAGCCTGGCGAACAATAAAGTCCAACTTCCAAAAATATGATCGCAGGGAATCCAGCATCCAAACCAGCCTGCAGGAGCAACACGAACGACGCCGAGTCATAACTTGGTCAGATCTAAGAAGAGAGTCGCGTGCTCGAAGGAAAGAGCGTTGGCGCCTTCGTCCATCACAGCTCCCATAAGTGCAGCTCGTAGCGCTGACGATCCAGCAATCGCAGTATCCCAGAAAGCGGATTGGGCAGCAGACCATTCACCTGCGTACTTCGCACGCACATTGGGCCAACTGTTGCGCGGCGTCGGGACCAACCCCAAGACTCCGTTGCCCCCTGCTTCCTTGGGGATCGCAGCTCCAAGCGCCGAGCTGAGGGGCGACGGCCAGGCCCCATCCTGCTCGATACTGTTCAGTATCAGCTAATGCCTGCCTCGCCAGTTGCGGCTGGCGCTGAATATCTGTGGGATTGAGCACGCCCTTCCCCTTCGCCTTCTTCTCAGGCAGCGTAGGCAACGCCGCGTCGACGTCAAGGATGGTGATTGGGGGAAGAGGTGCCTCACGAGCAGCTGCCAGACACTGGCCCATCATGTGCGATATATCAGCAGGCTTGCCCACTGGATCGCTCCACATTGCATTCCATTCTGAAGCAGCTGTCTGAAGCAACGTCTGCTTGTCCGTCGTGATCGCTCCAGTCGAATCACGGCCCTCCCACTCCATGGGAGGGGCCTGCTGGACATGCCGACGCACAGCTCCAGGCGTCGACGGCCAGGACTCCCTCGCCCACTTCATGATGGAGGAACGCGAAGCTAGCAACGCCCGTGAAGACGACAAACCCGCCCGCTTCCGCGCGGCGTCCACCAGGGAAGGGAGCTGGCCAACTGGAACCCGACCCAGGTCAGCAGCCATCGCTTTCCACGAATCGATCTCCTCTGCTGTGGACTTCTTGCCGAAGTACTCCGCCATCTTATCTGCAAGTGCAGACCCAATCCTGGCCTGAACCTCGCGCGCACAATAAGCAACCTGGCCATGATCAGCCGCGCTCGCACGCAGGGCAGCATGCCGAAACAGTGAAGTGCTGTCTACGCCCCACCATTCAGCTTGCTCATTCTTCATATGTGCACGCCCTGGAGAAGAAGCGACCTTAGCCCAGTTGCAACCTGGGCCACGAGCTCGACCTGAGAACAGCATCCAAGTGCTGGCCTCCGCCTGCTCGTGAATCAAGGTCGCGCGTTCCATCCAGTGTAGAGGTCCAAGCGCCGGAGGGCTCATCCAACTGGGCACGCGCTGCAGGTTGCCATTCAAAACAAAGTGTTGCTGCCGACCAAAAGTTGCAACCTTTCCCCGAGAACCCTCTGACTGGTCATCATAAAGCTGAGGGATACCTTCCCAGTAAAGCTGGGTCTGAGCTTCGAACCACGCGCCCCCAGGGATGGCGAACGACACCGACGGTGCAGGCGGTGAAGCTGGCGGGCCCAGCTCATCGAAGCCCTCCTGCAGCTCGATGGGAAGCGCCTGCAAGCGCCGCTGCCTCTGCCCCTCACGCTTCTTGGACCGCATGCTCTCAGGATCTGCCACCGCCACTGGCTGCTCACGAACAGGAGGGGGATTGGGCACAGCGAGGCGCCGGTGCCAACGTTGAGTGCGAGCCGCCTTCACCGTGACGGCTGCTCCACAATGCGTCTTCCGTGGGGCGCGAAATTCATGTTTGATCTCTAACTATGGACATCCAATGCTCGCAAGACCATAGTCACGCATGCGGCCAGGCCCTTTGTCGCACGTCGCACGGCAGCTGCGCGCCACCACGACGGAGCCGAGCTTCTGGGGCCGACCTGTGTCTCTCGGAAGGCCGCGGGCTCGATGTTCCAGTCCGCCGTGACCAGCCGCGGATCTGCAAGCGCGCGCGAGAGCCCCCAACGCCACCAACACGTCGTTGTTCCAACCCTTCGCGCCGAGGCGTGGCTGAAGGTAGGCGGCAATCAGGACCAAGTTGCCGCCTTTAGTGTGGATCGCCGTCGGCGCGAACCCGCGGCAGGGGTCCAGTCGCCCAGCAGCGCGCGCAGACTGCCGAGCACTCTCGAAGCTCGACGTTGCTACATGTTTCTCCGCGAAGATCCACTCACCGCTAGACAGGCCACTCTCCGACTTGCCCGAAGGGCGAGCGGCCGCGTAGGCCAAACGCCAGCCGCCTGTATCAATCGACTGACAGATGTCTGGCATATCCTTCTCTCCCTTGCGTGTCTCAACAAGGGCCGCGATGCTGCGCTCCTGCTCCTGGGCCAAGAAAAGCGCAGCCTGCGGGCTCCCTTCCGCACTGTTGCCGGAGAGCATGTCCACAGACGAGGCGTCCTCGGACACGCCATGGAGAGGTACTCCTGCAGCCTCGCCCCTGCAGGACGGGCTCGCCGCCGTGCTAAACACGGCCCGTGCCAGCACCAGCAGCAGCGATGCCCCTGCCAGAGCCCGCAGCGCCACCTTTGCCAGAGCCAGCGGCCTTGCCAGCAGCGGCCTCGCGCGCCTGCGCCTGAGCGCTGGCCTTGATGCGCTCGGGCATGGCCTTCTGGTCGCTCACCTGCACCACGATCTTCGACTTGCTGGGCCCAGCGGCGGCGGCGGCGGCGCCAGGCGTCGCGGGGGCGCCAGAGGCCGCGGCCGCGCCACCCGCACCGCCTTCGACGGCCTCGCCATCGGGGCCGCGCTTGCGCCGTTTGGCCGCCGCCTGGTGCGCCGAACGCGCACGCTCCAGCAGCGCCTGGAGCTCCTTCTGCTTGGCCTCCGCCTGCTGCGTGACGTCCTGCAGTGCTTCTGGAACTGCTCGAGCGCCTGCTTGTTGTTCTCCTCGAGCTTGTCGAAGCTCTCGAAGAGCTCGGGGTCCACCCCGAACAAGGACTGCTTGGCCGTCTCGGGCGGGTTCGCGGCCTCCTGCACCTCCAGGCGATGCAGCTCGGCTGCCATGACCGCGTCGGCGGCCTCGTCGAACTTGGACTGGGCCTTCTCGAGCTGGAGCCGAGCCTGCTCCAGCGCCGTGGCAGCCCTCGCCAGTGCCTCCTGCTTGCGCGAGCAATCCGCCGTAGCCTCCTTGAACAGCGCATGTGGGGGCTTGGGCGGCGCAGGAGCCGCAACCAGCTTCTGGGACGCCAAGGTGCTGAACTCCGCCGCCAGGCGCGTCGCGTCGGGGTCAGCAGGGAGCCCAGCGCCCGCGAGAGCCTTCGACATGTAGTCCCCGAGGTTGGCGAGCGACGGTTGGGGCAGCCCCTGCTCATGCCGCCCACCGCCCGAGCACCACGGTGCCCACCACGTGCCGCTCGTGGAAGTGTTCCATCCTGGCTGAGGTGTGTCGCAAGCCGCGCACACCCCTTTTTGCGTCTTGAGCCTCCAATTCCACACCCAGTTGCTACACTGCCTGCACGTCGAGAAGCCCTGTTTGCCATACTTGACCATCCGCTCCAACAAGGGCGCACAACATTTGCTCCGACAGGAGCTCACGAAAACACTTCAGACTGGCTCGGAGAACAGAGCTATCCCATTTTGGCACGGAGGCGCGGAGCCCCCATCGGTGCATTAGCCTTGAGCCAACATGGCTACGGTGGGAGGAGGGAGGAGGGAGGGGAGGGGGGGGGGGAGGAGGAGGAGGGAGGAGGGAGCGGTATTGAAGGAGAGAGGAGGAGGAGGAGGAGTATGAGGGGAAGTATGAGGAGGAGGAGGAGGTTAGGAGGAGGGGGAGGAGGAGGAAGGAAGGAGGAGGGAGGGAGGAGGAGGAGGGAGAGGACACCGTGGGGTGGGGAGCGGCGGCAAGGGGGTTTAGCGGGCGGGGGAGCGGGCCAGGGGGGGTGGGAGAAACGATTGGGGGGCGGGGGCGTGGCCAGAGGAAGAGCAGGGGCTGACCCAGGCCCGTGGTGCGTAACCTTGTAGGCCCGACCCTGGCAGTGGCCATCCTCATCTCCGTCCTCCTCCTCCTCCCTCGTCCACCTCTCCCACTCCTCCTCCTTCTCCTCCTCCTCCTCCTCCTCCTCCTCCTCCTCCTCCTCCTCCTCCTCCTCCTCCTCCTCCTCCTCCTCCTCTGCCCCCCCCCCATCCCTCCCCCCTCTCCCCTCCGAGGCGCTTCCAGAACTGGTTCAAATCTACGTCGATGCAGGCGCAGGGGATGTTGCGGGCGGTCGCGGCTTCCTCGGGGCTGGGAGCCGGAGTGGGGCGTGGGGGGGGGGGCAGGGGCGGGAGGGGAAAAGGGGGACAGGAGGGCAGGGCGATGAGAACGGAGGGGGGGTGAGACTAATGGGGGGAGGGCGCGGGAGGGAGGAGGGCGACGGCGAGGGCAGGGGGGGAGGCAGAGAGAGGGGCTTGCGGAGAGGGCAGGGGCGGGGGGGGTGTTCTTCTAAAATCCGCCGCCCCCTTAGCGGGGGGGAACCAGGCTGCGAAGGGCGGGCGTCGGAAGCTGCCAAGCTATTTCCTTGTGCGGCATTTAGCAGCACCAAAAGACTCTGAATAGCTCATCAACGTTGTGGCCGTGACTCCTGTTGAGCTCATCCATGAAGACCAACAGCTCAGATTTGGTAATTACCTCAGCTACTTGAAAGTACCCGCCTCCATGTCATCCTCCTCCTCCTCATCGTCATCATCATCATCATCATCATCAGCAGCAGCATCATCATCAGCATCATCAGCATCATCCTCAGCATCATTGTCATCATCACCATCATCACCATCATCATGATCATCACCACCACAATCCTGATCATCGTCATCAGTATCATCATCATCGTCATCGGCATCGTCATCGGCATCATCAGCATCATCATAAATATCAGCATCATTATCAACATCATCATCATCACCATCATCATCATCATCATCATCATCATCATCATCATCATCATCATCATCATCATCGTCTTCATCACCCGCATCATTCCCATCATCAAACTTATCAGCGTCATCAATATATTCATGATTCACATAATCAGAATCATCATCAGCAGCAACAGCACCAGCATCAGCATCAACATCATCGGCAACAACAACAACATCCTCGTTCCTGCCGATACCATTCCGTCCTGCTCCTCCTGTTCCTCCTCCTCTCCTTCCTCCAAAGGAATCATACATCAGAACGAACAACGAGTTCCACGAGGTCGGAGTCCAGTGGGGCCAGGGCCTGGTGCGAAAACGGATCGCCACCAAACGACCTGATTCAAGCTTGGCCGTCGCCCGCGGCAGTTGCAATAATCCTTCAATTCAAGTTCCAGCATTCGGCCTTCCATTCAATGCTTGATGTGCGGAGGAAATGCCCGTGCGCCGGATGTGCTGGGGCTCACTTCGCCGACTTGCGGCCAGGCGCCGGGGCTTGCTTCGCGAAGCCGAGCCACGTGTGATCGCGCTGCCCGTCTTCGGCGACCACACGGTCGACACAGGGGCTTTGGCAGCAAATGGCCCCTGTTTCTCCTTCATGAAAGGGCTGCTGCTCTGCTCCGTGAGGGTGCAGTTGCCCGTCGAGGCTATTGGCGGACGTGGCCCATATGGACTCGGCGACCGCACCCTCGTCGACCCGACGTTCATCGTCGATATCGTTCCCCTGCAGAGAGTCAGGTAAGCGTGGTACGCCCTGCCTGACCAGGAGCGTCGCCGGATCTACGCATGGCTGGGGTCTGCACCTCAGGAAGGCGCAGGCCAAACTGAAGAACATTCGAGGGTACCCTCCCCCAGGATGGACAAGAACATGCAACAAACACGAAGAACAGCATGGTACCCTACCCGAACCGACCTCGATCTCATACCTCGGTCCGGCCGTGCCTCTCTGTCTGTGAGTGGGGCGCGCCGCCGCTTGGCGAGCGCGTTGGGGGCCGCGGCGCGGCGCTGCCGCCCCGCCCGAGGCAGGAGCTGAGGTCTCGCAGGATTGCTCGTTCTTATATTCTTATCCTCCTTCTCCTCTTCTCCTCCTTTTCTTCCTGCTCCTCCTTCTCCTCCTCCTCCTCGTCTTCCGCATGCTCCTCCTCCTCCTTCTCCACAATTGAAAAATATGAATACTCCTCTCCTCTCTCTATTGATGACGTCCGGAAGATGTTCGGCCCCCTCCGTGCATTGTTTTTTACATATTTCCAATGCCATGCCACGGCATGCAATGCAATGCTGTGTTCCGCTGTGCGATGCCATGCCTTCAGCTGAAATGCTAGGGTCTGCAGTGCTTAACTACACAGTGCCACGCCATGCTATGCCATGCTACGCTTTGATGTTCAACGCCATGCTATGTCATGTTCTGTTATGTGCCGCTGTGCAATGCCATTATTTGCGTTGCATTGCTTTGTGATGCAATTCTTCACTACGCAACGACACGCCATGCCATGACAGACTACGCTCTGCCGTGCTTTTCTACGCCACGCCCTGCTACGCCGTGCTCTACAATGCATCGCGCACCCTCTCGGGATCATTGCCCTGCCTGACAACCGACTGTGCGAATAGAGGGGATATCTACGCCATGGTAAGGGATGGGAGGGAGGAGTATGACGTCAGACATGACGCGAGCGCACCTAGCTTGTCCTCCTCCTCCTCCTCCTCCTCCTCCTCCTCCTCTCCTCCTCCTCTCCTCCTTCTCCTCCTCCTCCTCCTTCCTCCCCCCTCCTCTCCCTCCTCCTCCTCCTCTCCTCCTCCTCCTCCTCCTCCTCCTCCTCCTCCTCCTCTCTCCTCTCCTCCTCCTCCTCCTCCTCCTTCCTCCTCCTCTCCTCCTCCTCTTCCTCCTCCTCCTCCTCCTCCTCCTCCTCCTCCTCCTCCTCCTCCTCCTCCTCCTCCTCCCCCTACTCCCCACCGTAGCCATTTTGGCTCAAGCGAGCCGCACTTCGGGAGGCCTTCGCCAGCGCGCCTGCATCAGGCGCAGGTGCGCAAGCGGCCGCGATGCATGCCGGACCTGCTGCTGTCCACCGGCGGGCGGCCATTCCGGGATCCCAGGACAGATTCGTCGACCAGTCCTCGGCCCGTTCTTGGGCCGCCTCGAGTGCACAGACGCTGGCCAAGCGTTCGAGGAGGAGGGCAAGATTGCAGATCGGACGCAGCCGTGCTGAGGCCGTCGCAGTGCGATGCAAGGCCTTCAGAGTGGCCCTGCTGAGCGATTGGTCCCTAGGCGACAAGCTCGGGGCCCACACCAGCAACTGCGGTGAGGCTACTGCTGCTGCGAGATTGTTGGGAGTCGACGTCTACGACGACCAGGACAAGCTTGCGTTCGGCAACTGGGGCAAGCGTGCAGCTCCTCCTGGTGCCGAGAAGCCTTCGCGTGTGCCCGGGGCAGTGCTGGCCACACCCCTGGAGTCCTTCCGCGAGAAGCTCTACGTCGATGCTTCTGCCCATTGTCATCGCGAATGACCTGCTCTCCAGCATGCCGATTACATACATGCGTCTTTGGGTTGTGGTGGAGCCTCTCGGGAAGTCTGGCGGTAGTCGAGAGACTCGGAATAACTAGCACGCATTCCCGTCGGACTCATGACACTCGGGGCGACCAGTTGGGTGATTAAGGTGGTGGTCGAGCTTGAACTTTGGAGCACCGCTGCCCGATCCCGTCATCGGGACCCTGGGCGGCGACGCGGGACCCGTCGTTCCTGTTCCTGCTGCTCTTCCTCCTGTTCCGGCGGCGGCTCCTCGCGCCCACTGTGCCGATCCCGACGTCGCTCGGCCACTCTGTGCTCGTGCTGCTCTGGGCCGCGACGCTCCTGTCCATCACCTCGCTGCGGACGAGCCTGTGAGACTTTGTTGTGAACGCTCTGCTGCTCAGCCTCTTCTCGCCGAGCCTGCTCCTGACGTATTGCCTTCCGAAGCCCTCGCTGATGAAATTCTTGGGGGCGGCGTCAGCTCAGGTGCCGCAGCTGGCCCACAAAATGATGACGGCCGTGGAGATACATGTGCTGACATCAGTGCGCTGGATCTTCGCGGAACTCTTGACATTCTCGCTGGAGCCGACTGTCCTCCAAAAGATGGCGAGAACACCATCGGGAAGGTTGCTCCGGCCTCGGACGTACGTTTCGGTAAAAAGTGGTGGCTCGCTCGACAGGCGATTGCTAAATAATGGCTTGTCGCCCAGGAGGTTCCTTTCAAGTTCGCGCCGAACTCGTTTCGTCCTCCTGAACCTGACGGGCCTGCTTGCCATCGCTACCGTAGCAAGCGTGCCGTCTGATTTTCCTCCTCCCCATTCGCCTGCTTTTGCACTGCTGGTTGTGGGTGGGGAGGTTTTGATGTATGAGGAGTGTGAGGGTGGAGAACGACTAATTTCCTGTCCTTCTTAGCCTTTTGAAGCCCTCCTGGAAAAGGCGTGCCTTTGCAAGTACGTCGACTTCGGCACCGCCTGATTCCGAGGCTTAACCTCCTCCAGGCCTCGATCTGAGGCTGCGCCCTCCCCCTTCCTCCCCCTCAATGGTTAATTCAAGCTTCGCGCGGCCCGCTTAGCTTCGACCGGAAGAGGTGCGCTCTCGACCCGCGAATCAAAAAAAGTGTTTTCGGTCCCTGTCTTCTCGGTCGTGACCCTCACTCGTCCTTGTCTGGGTCCTGCCCACGCTCGCAAAGAGAATATGAGCTCTGCTGCCTGGGTTTGAATAGTGTACTGATTGCTTGGAAGGTGAGGGAAAGACCTCCGACGAGCCACGACAGGGGCGTTTCAAATTCCTCTTCAGGCGTTCCCAGCATCGCTCTGCTGCTTTCGGGCCCTCGTTGTTTCGGTGGCCCTTTTCTTCGGTCGTGTCCCTCCGCTCGTTTGTCTGTGGTTCCTGGGGCCTGTCCCTCGTCGGGCCCTTCCGTCGCGCGTCGGCTACGTGCAGGAGTTATTGTTCTGACGATAACCCGAGGATAAATCCAAACATCCCCCTCCTCCTCCTCCTCCTCCTCCTCCTCCTCCTCCTCCTCCTCCTCCTCCCCTTTCTCCTCCTCAACTCCTCCTCCTCCTCCTCCTCCTCCTCCTCCTCCTCCGCCTCCTCCTCTTCCTCCTCCTCCTCCTTCTTCTGCTGCTCCTGCTGCTGCTGCTGCTCCTCCCCGCCCTCCTCCTCTTCCTCCTCCTCCTCCTCCTCTTCTCCTCTCTCCTCCTCCTCCTCTCCTCCTCCTCCTCCTCCTCCTCCTCCTCCTCCTCCTCCTCCTCCTCCCCCCTCCTCAGCACCCTCGTCCCTGTCCTTCCCACGCGGGGCACGGCAGAGCGCGCGACTGCGCGAAGCGGCGTCCTCGGCCGCAATAAATTCTGCACCAACCTTGCAGGCGGGGCAGCATGCATCGAGAGGACCGGCATGCCCTCTGCTCTCCTCCTCCCACTCCTCCTCCTCCTCCTCCTCCTCCTCCCCCTCCTCCTCCTCCTCCTCCTCCTCCTCGTCGTCCTCCTCCTCCTCGTCCTCTTCCTCCTCCTCCTTCTTCTGCCGTTCCTGCTGCTGCTGCTCCTCCCCGGATTGTACTGGCTGTCGTCGGTGCGGGTGTTCGCTGGGTCAGGACGGACATGAGCATGAGTACGAGTGTGCGGGGCGACGATGGGAACGATGACGACGAGGATGGTGACGTGAAGATGGCGAGCGTGGCCAGGGATCAAAGCGAAGATGAGGATGCGTGAAGGCGGCGTGGATACATACGGACGATGATGTGGGTGATGATTTGGATAAGGGTGTCAGCGAGTGGCAACGGCGACGACATCGACGACGACGCTGGTGATGCTGGTGATGCTGATGATGATAATGCTGATGCTCATGCTGTTGCTGATGATGATGCTGCTAATGATGCTGGTAAAGATGATGCTGCTGCTGATGACGATGATGGTAATAGTGGTGATTGTGATTGTGCTGATGATGATGGTAATGATGATGGTGAATATGATGGTGATGATGATGATGGTGGTGTTGGTGCTGCTGGTAATGCTGCTGATGATGACAATGGTGGGGATGATGATGGTGATGGTGATGGTGATGGTGATGGTGATGATGATGATGATGATGATGATGATGATGGTGATGTTGATGATCATCATCATCATGATTATGGTGATGCTGATGATGCCGATGATGCTGCTGCTGCTGCTGCTGCTGATGATGATGATGATGATGATGATGATGATGATGATGATGATGATGATGACGACCTGCAGGGTGTGTGCGTGAGAGTGTTTGACTGTTACTTCGCGGAGGGCCTGAAGGAAAATTGTACTCCCCAAAGTGGCCCTTGTGATGTGGGGGGATCGGGATGGTTCAGAGGACTCGGGCAATCTGAGTGGGTTCCCCCGCATTGCTGCACTTGTCGGCAGCATGCCGAAGGATGCGACAAACCTCCGTCTGGAGCTTTTCTCGAGACGTTGGAAGTCTGGGAACCCTGCGATCCGACGCTGCAGCAAAAATTGGAGCACGTGGACTTTGGCCGTTTTCGGCCTCCGGGGGCCCTCGCCGGGCCTCGGGAGTGTCAAGTAGCGACTCGGGACGAAAAACTGGTGCCGGGGAAGTGGCCCAGACCTCCGGAGCCCCCCCCCAAAACGTGGAGCAGCGGCATGTATGGGGACGTTGGGCCCAGAGGATCCTTTTTTCCGGACCGCAAGATCAACGTTCGTTCTCGCGGCCGAAGCCAAAATGACGGTCGAAACGGCGGTCGAACCTTCAAGATGGCGGTTTGACATGCCGAACCGCCAGAATGACGGCCCATACGATGGCGGCGCTTGCCCCCGAACGGTTGGAGGTCGCCACATCGTTGCAAGGGGAGCGCGAGGAAATCTGGGGACCCTCTGGGGAGGTCTGGGAAAAGGGAAGGCCCGAGACGGTATAGCAGCCCGCGAGCAGAGCCGGCCCAGCAGCCCAGGCCCCCGACGTCCTGATTTCTGCACGGCGTCGGCCCCCAGAAGAGCTCGACCCCTTCCCCCGGAGCGGTTTTGCGTCCCCTCCTCCGCCCTCCGGCCTCCGCCCTCCTCCGCCCTCCTCCGCCTCCCTCCGCCCTCCTCCGCCCTCCTCCGCCCTCCTGAGCCAGCGTTTGACGGCCCCGAGGCCCAGTGAGGGCCCCTGGAGGCCGAAAATGGGGAAAAACCTTCCGTCGTGATTTTTTCCACGGCGCGAGGGGGTCTGGCAGGATCTGGCGTGGAAGCTGGGCGGCCCTGTGCCGTGCCAGTCGTGGCCGGCCTCCGCCGAGGCGAGGCTGCAGGACCCCACCGAAGAGAGGAGAGGCGGAGACCCGAGAGGCGCGCCCGCAGCGCCGAGCAGGCAGCGGAGGAGAGCCCAGCAGGGCTCAGCATTCGAAGGGGCAGGCGGGGGAGGAGGAGGAGGAGGAGGAGGAGGGGGAGGGGGAGGAGGAGGAGGAGGAGGAGGAGGAGGAGGAGGAGGAGGAGGAGGAGGAGGAGGAGGAGGGGAGGAGGAGGAGGAGGGGGACGAGGAGGAGGAGGAGGAGGAGGAGGAGGAGGAGCAGCAGAAAAAGGAGGAGGAGGAAGAGGACCAGGAGGAGGAGGAGGAGGAGGAGGAGGAGGAGGAGGAGGAAAATGAGGATGGGGAGGAGGGGGAGGTAGAGAGGAGGAGTAGGAGGGGATGAGGATGGGGAGCAGGATCGGGATCGGGATCGGGCTCGTGAAGTCAGGGCGTCTCCTCGATGACTGGCTCGCAAAACACCGCAGCCTCGCCTGCCTGGAATCCTGACTGGCGAAGCTCGCTTGGCCGCCTACCTCGTGGGCGGCCTCCTGCTCTCGGGTAGGGCCGCAGTGCCCCTGTAGGGACAACCCCCACATCTGGCACGCGGCCGTGGGGGCGCCCCCAAGGGACCGATGAACCATTACGCTCAGCCTCGGGCTCCGTACAAGGGGCGAAGACGCGAGAGGACGAACGACCAGACGGCTGCGGCGCCCGAAGCTACGACTGCTGCATCAGGGACCACTGCAAATCCACCCATATGGGAGGGGGAGGAGACGGAGAAAGAGAAGGTATGGGGGGGGGTGAAGGGGAGGAGGGAGATGAGGATGGGGAGGAGGAGGGGAGGAGTAGGAGGAGTAGGAGTAGGAGTAGGAGTCAAGCTAGCCAGCTCGAGCGAGTCAAGCATGGCATGCCCAGTCCCACCCGCCCTCCCACAACATAAGAAGCAAAGCTGGCACAACTGGGGGCCGAAGTCACACCGGCCAGCCGGTTTGGTACAGCTGATGCGGCCGCGATGGCGGTTGCCGACGGGAACTGGCGAGCGCGTGTTGAATGCCGCGCACGCATTGCCAGACGAGTCGAGAATGGCCCGGTACACCGCAGGAAGCCAGAGGTGGCCGGAGGAAGCCCGACGGTCTGACAGGACACCCCAAAGCATTTTTGTGAAAAGCATTGGGTTTTTGATGTTTTTATGTTGAAATGCTTGCAAACACACGGTGTTCGGTAGGATTCTGACATGAACGCGCGAGTGTGCTCTTTGTGGTATTTTTTGCACAGGATTCGCGGCCTGGGTGCATGACAGAGCATCGCGAGTGCACCGCGCGATGACGTGAAATCGCTGGATTTGACCGAATTCTTAAGATTCCTATGGTTTTCCTATGATTTCAGCAAGAGAGCCCGGGCGGGAAATTTGTACAATTTTTGTGAAAAAGCATTGGGTTTTTGATGTTTTTTATGTTGAAATGCTTGCAAACACACGGTGTTCGGTAGGATTCTGACATGAACGCGCGCGTGTGCTCTTTGTGGTATTTTTTGCAATGGATTATCGCCGTGGACGACAGGACGTCCATGTCGAGAGGAAAAAATAAGAAAAATGTTGATTTTGTATTGTTTTTTACAGGTTAGGATGGGACCACCCGGATGCGGCCCCTATCTGCCGGCCTGAGGGGGGAGTAGGAGTATATTCTAATAATAAGGTAGGAGTAGGAGTAGGAGTAGGAGTCAAGCTAGCCAGCTCGAGCGAGTCAAGCATGGCATGCCCAGTCCCACCCGCCCTCCCACAACATAAGAAGCAAAGCTGGCACAACTGGGGGCCGAAGTCACACCGGCCAGCCGGTTTGGTACAGCTGATGCGGCCGCGATGGCGGTTGCCGACGGGAACTGGCGAGCGCGTGTTGAATGCCGCGCACGCATTGCCAGACGAGTCGAGAATGGCCCGGTACACCGCAGGAAGCCAGAGGTGGCCGGAGGAAGCCCGACGGTCTGACAGGACACCCCAAAGCATTTTTGTGAAAAAGCATTGGGTTTTTGATGTTTTTATGTTGAAATGCTTGCAAACACACGGTGTTCGGTAGGATTCTGACATGAACGCGCGAGTGTGCTCTTTGTGGTATTTTTTGCACAGGATTCGCGGCCTGGGTGCATGACAGAGCATCGCGAGTGCACCGCGCGATGACGTGAAATCGCTGGATTCGACAGAACTCTTAAGATTCCTATGGTTTTCCTATGATTTCAGCAAGAGAGCCCGGGCGGGAAATTTGTACAATTTTTGTGAACAAAAGCATTGGGTTTTTGATGTTTTTATGTTGAAATGCTTGCAAACACACTGTGTTCGGTAGGATTCTGACATGAACGCGCGCGTGTGCTCTTTGTGGTATTTTTTGCAATGGATTATCGCCGTGGACGACAGGACGTCCATGTCGAGAGGAAAAAAAAAAAATGTTGATTTTGTATTGTTTTTTACAGGTTAGGATGGGACCACCCGGATGCGCCCGCTATCTGCCGGCCTGAGGGGGGAGTAGGAGTATATTCTAATAAGGAATAAGGATAGGAGTAGGAATAGGAGTAGGAGTAGGAGTAGGAGTCAAGCTAGCCAGCTCGAGCGAGTCAAGCATGGCATGCCCAGTCCCACCCGCCCTCCCACAACATAAGAAGCAAAGCTGGCACAACTGGGGGCCGAAGTCACACCGGCCAGCCGGTTTGGTACAGCTGATGCGGCCGCGATGGCGGTTGCCGACGGGAACTGGCGAGCGCGTGTTGAATGCCGCGCACGCATTGCCAGACGAGTCGAGAATGGCCCGGTACACCGCAGGAAGCCAGAGGTGGCCGGAGGAAGCCCGACGGTCTGACAGGACACCCCAAAGCATTTTTGTGAAAAAGCATTGGGTTTTTGATGTTTTTATGTTGAAATGCTTGCAAACACACGGTGTTCGGTAGGATTCTGACATGAACGCGCGAGTGTGCTCTTTGTGGTATTTTTTGCACAGGATTCGCGGCCTGGGTGCATGACAGAGCATCGCGAGTGCACCGCGCGATGACGTGAAATCGCTGGATTTGACCGAATTCTTAAGATTCCTATGGTTTTCCTATGATTTCAGCAAGAGAGACCGGGCAG